GATAGATAGATAGATAATCTTTGATGGTAAATGAGTCGGATACGGATCATCAGATGTATGGTACACAAGAGTTTTCCAATGCTAACATTAAAATTAACTGGAAGGGTAAAGCCTAGTAATGATCTACAAATGAGACCCTTTAATCTTTGAGGCGGCTGGAAACATTAGAGAGTCATTTTTCAAGTACATCCTCAGGGCATGACGGCAATACACAATTTATGTCTACATGATTTTGTTCATTACCAAAACCTTAAGAAGCTATTTTATTTGGATGTTTTCCAGCTGATTACACTGATTGAAAATGACCCGTGGCAGTCAACACACGGAAACTATTAAACACAATAGGGGATTGTTATGTATTGAATAAGCACAGTGGAGTATAAAGGAAGATATGCTCTTTTCATCCAGTAAATTAACTGTGGACCTAAACCACAATTCAACATCTAATGAATTGTATTCACATCTGTGTGAAATAAGCTGCTGTTCCACATGTGTGTATATATATATATATATATATATATATATATATATATATATATATATATATATATATATATATATAAGTTTCTGATAAATAAATACTTTTTGGTAGAAGGAGGACAGAGCAAACTAACCTCCTCAAAAGGCCCTAAGAACCTAATTTATTTTAAACAATGTTGGTTGTTAAAAGCTATTATTTCACAGCAAGGACCTGAACCAAATACATCAACTACTTGTAACTCTTCCTCTTTATACTGTTTTTTAAAATGTTTTTGAAATTTAAATTGAAGCTTGAAAGAACAGAACAGTAGGCCTATTTATTTTAAATAGAATTATTTTCTTACATTATAAATGTCTTTACTTCCATTTACTTGTATGAATGCATGAAAGAACAGAACGCATTATAAGAAACGCTGAATAAAAGTATTAATTTCTTTATAAATAAATTCAAATGATCAAATGAAAGGCCAACTATTCTTTTCCGAGGAGCAAAAACAATGAATTTGATATTGGACATAATATACAATTTTTATAGAAACAAAAATGAATTAAACATAAGCATCACTGTATTTTTAAATTCCCTTGTAATTTTGAATATCATGTTCTAATCTAAACTAAAGAGATTTACAGTTGGTAGGTGGGGGTCGTTTAAAAATAGACACTTCTGTACGCATAACCAATAGGGGGCGCTCTTGTTACAAGGTGTTTGAAGTTCATTTTGGTTTTCTTGGGTCGGTGAGAGATTTCCCAGTCCTGAGAGTCAGATGATTTGTTCTGTCTGTACAAACTCTGGCCATCTGCACACTGATTCGTGTCCTTCCAGCAAAGTTTTAGCAGTTGCGATTAGATTACCAACAGTAAAATCTCCGTAGGCGCATCTTTTCCAGCTAATGTCAGAGCTGACATTTTCTCTCACTCCTTTATTCTGGGAAAATCACTTTTGGATGTGTATTTGAAAGCCCAACACATGCCTAGCAGGCAGATTAAAATAAAGGGCAGACTGAAACAATTGTTAAATAGTCTGGCAATGACTGCCCTTATTTACTATTACTAAATATCAGCATTCAATTTTGAAGTGCAATGAAAGGCAGCCTGGAGGAAATGTGAGTATAACACAAGTCATGAGTTTTACCTCACGCAAATAAGCCATGGGGCCAGAAAAGGCACTTTGTGTGCTTAGACATTATCTTCTTCCTTGAGCAGGGGATTTTTCAAGGGTTACATGGGGAATATTTGTTTAGATGCGTCTTACCATAATAGGGCCTCTTTGTTCATAGTCAAACATTAGATCCTCACAGGAAAGGAAAAGTTCTTAGCAACTCTTATATGACAATAAAGCCTAAAATAGCTGGCTACAAAGACGGGTGGCGTTTTGAGAAAGATGCATCTAAGCTTCAAGTTGTACTTACTGAGCACAGGCTCCAGTTGGGGTAACACTTCCTCTGGCACTTAACTCTTGCATAACTTTTGTTTATTTATCTCTGTTATCTGTCTCAGGAAATGCACAGTGTGGGGACAGTTCGGTTTTTCATATATGGGAAAATGGCCGATTTAAACTTTACACACAACTAAGACATCAGAAAGCTAATAGATGCAGAAACAACAATAAATGACCCCAAATAATCTGCTAACATACAAAGGCTTTTGGCCTATATCAGTGGTTCTCAAACAATGGCTTGTGACCTAAAAATGAATAAGCAATAAAAAATGCAAATAATGAAATGCAACTATTCTTATGATCGGACATTAGATATTTTAAACAAGGTTGTTGAAGTCAAAAGTTGATTGTATGATCAAACTATGGTATTTGGAAGGAAATTCATCTGTCATTCATTCATGGTAGAAACCTGCCTATGACTGATTTTAACTTCTACATACTGTAAAAAATCTAATTCATATCGAAAAAAAAATACTGTAAAATGCAACAGTACAAACCTTTTAATTGCTTAACAGTAAATTAACTTACCACATAAAAGCTGTAAATTTTAACATTGCAGTAATTTTACTATGAATTACCATATAATTTACGATGAAATACAATAAAAGAACATTCTCAGACATTGTTCATATCAGTAATGAATTTTTTTGTTACATTTTATGTTATTTAGTTAATGTTTATTGCATTATTTTTGCATCAGATATTTCATGTGTGTGACTCTGGCCACTGTCTATATGAGTGTTGGCCATGTTTTATGGACAAGACTTGAAAAAATATGATTGGTATATTAATAATCTGTCACTTAATAAAATATAGCCTACAGTTATAAGTTGTAAGATATACAGGCACTAATATGCCTTCCTGTAATACCTGAAACATTTACACTGAATTTTTATGCTGAATTTCAGGCAACCACAGCTGCCTATTTTTTTTTTAATAAAAAATATACCAGGATATTTGTTACAGTGCATATTGAGTTATACAATATGCAGTAAAGAACAAGGCAAAAAGCATAACTCAACAATTTTATTGTATTTATACAGTTCTTATATACAAAACACACATAATGCAGTTAATCTGGAATTTCACACTTTTTACAATCACTGGATACGTAAAACATTAGGGAAGCAGAATATGAAAGTGGAAAAAAGTACAGTAAAACTCTGAAAGGAGTTTTGAAGTAGACATCATGTTGACAGTGACACTCATGACATCCTAAGTGGGACAAAACACCAGAGCAGCAAATGTAGTGTAAATAATACTGTAGTTAAATCATCTTCAGCAGATTAAAATCGCAACTGGAAATAGTTTCTCTGTTTATTATTCTCCAAATATAATTTATATCAAATTAAGTACACGCCATATGCTTATCTTGATCACGAGTTTTAATAGCCTTTGTACTTGTGTCTGTGTTTTGTGTCTTTTCCGCTATTTCACTTTTAAACTCTCCCAATGGATTTATGGTCATAAAAGAGGAAACAACGATGAACACAGCCTTGAATTAAAGAATCTATTCCGCTTCTTTATGTGCACAAGAGCCAGAGATCTTCCAGTAAATGCACGTGTTGCTCCCACTGGGAAGAGCTGTCAGGGACAAAGGTTCAGGGTGTGTCCAATTTCTCAAATCAAATCCCTTCCTGCCAACGTTCAGTAAGCCAACATGGCACTGCGGTGATTACAAGGGCAGAATTTAAATGCCTTTAGGGCACAGAGAAACATTGCCATTGTTGCTTTGTAATAGAAATAAGCCACAGTGTCCACTGCAGTACATAAAACAGAAAGAATTCAAGAAAAGAGCTTGATGCTCTTTTCAAAACTTGAAAAGTATTTGATAACATATCTCAAGCTGTCAAAACAACAGCAAAACAAAATTCTGACAAGTGGACACCTGCACTGAAATTGAAACCGCTCGCCCTCCGAGGAAACTGTGAGTCAGCGACTACCTCTGATGACAAAAACAGATCAAATTGTGCCACCACCACCAACAAACGCTCCTCAGCATTAGCAGAAGTCTCAGAGAAGTCACTTCACACCCTGTTCATGGAGTAGTTCAAAAGAATAGACCGCAACATGGGTGCAACAAATCGGGGGCTCGTCCGGGATCGCAACCTGGGACTCTTGCAGCCACATCAGCTAAAACCAAAAGCACACAGCTGTTCACAGCTGCCATTCAACAAGCCCTGGAGAATAAAGCTCAGTCCCTGGCTGAAATCAAGGAAGAACTAAGATCTTTACATCTGCTGATGGTATAAGTGAACAGCATCAGGTTGACTCCCTCTGTAATTCTCCTTGTAGAGTCATGATGAACTACACAGGTTATATACATTTCGAGAGGCTTAACATCATATGAATACTCATAAAGTACACATGTTGTGCAATAATGACATTTAAAGAATACCATTAATGCATTATTCATCTTAAGTTAGTGGTGTTAGGCATAACCAGTGATTTGACCCTACTCTAAATTCCAAAGCTCGTAGCTTACCGTGAAGAGACAAATAAAAGCAGACACAGTTAACATTTACAAAAGCCGCTATTCACTCTATGTACAAAAAACCCTGCTTAGTTGTTAATGAGACAATTTTGCATGACATCTATAAACTCACAAGTATAGATAAAGCAAAATGTGATTTAAATGTTAGATTATATCAAAAATAAACCTGTCAAATGACATGAAATGAACTACTTGTACCAAGCAGGATGTTCAGTGCAGGTTTGCCATTTATTTTTAGGATGTTATTTGGGAGATGAGCCAGTATAAAGTTATTGTGCATTGTTTGAGTTTATCCTTAAGAAAGGAGGTGAAAATACTCTAAAATGATTGACTACCAAACTGCTTCATTTTTCTTTGCGTTAACAAACTGTAATCCCCTCAAATGTTCTTGGCTTTTCCACCATCTAAGGTGTCTTCAAACTTCCTGTTTCACAGGACGAAATTAAAACGAGTGATGACAGAGAGATTCATTCAATTTTGTGTATGAATGTCATGTCTCTCATATACAGCTCTGCATAATGGAGTACTTGATCAGCTAACACACGATGCAAAGTACATTTTGCACCATGATTTTTTTCCTGCACCAGAAGTCCAGATGGCACATCCTCCTGCGATAGGATGGAAATTGGACTCAAACAATGGCAAAAACAGATCAAAGTACTGTAAATGTCACTGCAACATTATGTCCTTAAGGTTCTCCTGAAGAATTGTATCTTTGACGGCATGAAAGACAAAGCGAATGTTCTCAGTGTCAATGGCAGTGGTGAAGTGGTGGAAAAGTGGCTTGCTGCGGTTGCGACGTTTGCGGTTGAAGCACTGCACTAGATAAGCTTGCACGTCCTCCAGTCGGTGAGGGTCTCCCCGGAAGTCGGAAAAGTGCTTGCAAATGCTGACTTTGCGTACCTTCTCCACCAGAAGGTCCATCTTGTTGAGGAAGAGGATTATGGACACATTGGAAAAGAGCTTGTTGTTGACTATGGTCTCAAAGATGTTCATGGACTCCACCAGGCGGTTAGTGCGCCGGTCTTCCATCAGCACCTGGTCATACTCGCTGGAGGACACCATGAAGAGGATGGAGGTGATGCCATCAAAGCACTGAAACCATTTTTGTCTCTGAGAGCGCTGGCCACCCACATCTACCATCTTAAAAGGGATCTTCTTAATGATAAAATCATGCTCCACAATTCCCTTGGTGGCCTTCCTGGCCAATAGGATGTCCTGTCGGCTTGGTAGATAATTCTGAAAGAACAGGTTGAGTAAATAAAGTCAATAATAAATATATATATATATATATATATATTAGCACAAATCAAACAAATTTTTTACAATTTGCTTTAGCTAAATTGATCTAAAATATTTTTATTAACAAGGATAATTATTGGCACAGGTCTATTAGAGTTTCACATTCTACCAGGATCTTCTTTATCCACTTATGCAACTTAAAACAGAAAAACTATACCTTTTGCAAACTTAACCATTCTGATTTTTGTGAAATCTATGTGGTAAAATAAAAATAAATAAAAGCAAAAATAAGAGTGGTTTCCAGGCAATCTTTTGTCACAAATACACAATCCTTCATAAAAATTGCCACAAGGGCAGACAAAATGATCTTTGAAGCAGTTTTCAAAAGGCCCACATCCCACCCAAACTATAACATTTATCTGTTTTGTATTTGGCCTTGGTTTCCATGCTCACACAAAACCCTTCCAGGCCTTTTTTTTATCACTCATCTGAGACACACTATGTGTTCTTGGCAACCTTGGCCAATATCAAACTCAAAGAGACCACTTTACTTTCATTTTCAGTGTCTCCAGTCTTCAATGCCCCCATCTCTGCTGGGAAACATTGCATAAAAAACACTATTCTGACTGACTATCTGTGTTTATATTGCATGGTCATATACCATGAAGAGCTGGCACTATTAAATAATGCTGTGTTATCATGACTCACCAGTTGGCCAATCCGATCCAAGTTGTCCAGGAAATATTTCACTGATTCACTCTGTAAAAAAAAAAGACCACAAAAAGATAAGTGTTTCACCCTGTACACAGAACAAGAGCATTCCCATTTATACAAACTAAAAAACTAAATATAATAATTACATAAATTACATCAGTCCGGCATCAACTAATAAAGTCACTATAATTAATTAAAGGATTCATACCTCGAGGTATTTTTTTTTAAATGGAGGAGCTCCGGAAAGATAAAATAAGAAGTGACAACAGTAGAAGACGAGTTAAAGTTCACATTTATCGTTTGGCTCCTTAACCTGAACATGAACTGTGTTACATACAACAGCATAAGAGACTTTTTCAAAAACATTAAAAAAATCTTACAGACCCCACAGAAGAAGATTTTCTACTTCTACACAAGCAGGACAATAAAAGTTGATATAAAACACATTTTGAGTTTGTATTCACTTATTCTTGCAAAACTACATTTTTATTAAAACAAATAGGGCAACACGATCCCAAAAGCAGTTCTAATTCAGGAATGGAAAGTCTAAAAGTAACAGGATGTTCCTATCTTTGTCTGAGAACTATTCGGGACACTCATACCACACAGTGCCCGTCAGCAGAATTTCAGTTAACTCTAAAACGTAGCTTTTACACATAATGCCTATAATCTCCTGTTACTTCATTAAGTGCTGTAGGGAGGTGAATAATCATTCTCAAGTATTGCTCCCTTGGACCAACATTTGGTTAAGTGCACATTAACACATTTTACAGCCGTGACTGCATTACATTAAGGGTGGTTTACATTACAGAACGCTGGCTGTAATAAATGGATCCTATTATTTCCAAATATTACAAATGAACAGGCACAAGAATGACTGGAGGCTTTTTATCTTGAACTCAGCTCAGACTTTCACTCCTATACTACAGGAGAATCAGGCCAGAGGTCAGAGCCCAATCCATAAATAAAGCTGACTGATGAGATGTCTGAAGCTCAGGGTGATCAGAGTCAGTACGGTATGTTCACACTGGTCTCTTCTTCCAAGAATCAATTACATCTGCTGCCTTCATAAGCCACAATCTACTGATAACTGCATTTATTGCCCAATATCTGGAGACTTTTCCCAGCAAAAAAACATGTTCTGTCTTAATGGAATGGACTCCCTAGAATGAAGAAATAGAGAGATGAACTAAATTGCTGTGTTGAGCATTATTTCCTGACAAAGTTGTTTTCACGCAGGCTTTTGGATGGCAGACACTGCGGCCTTGGCGTTTCAGTGAACATTGTCTGGAAAAGCAAATTGTGTCCTCTAGTTTGTGTGTGTCTCACAAAGGCCCCTAGCCTGGCCCATGTTCCCAACAGGAAACAGCTGTGTGTGAAAACAGGGGATTAGTAGAACAGCGCTGGCCCTCTATAACAGACTGAAGCCCAACACCCAAACCCTGCACGCACGCACACACACACGCGAGTACACACAAACACACGCACGTACACACACACACACACACACGTTGGGTTTCCATGTGTTATGGGGATTTCCATAGACATAATGATTTTTATACTGTACAAACTGTATATTCTATCCCCCAAGACTAACCCTACCCATCACAGAAAATGTTCTGCATTTTTACATTTTCAAAAACAAGGACAAGGATATCGGATATTGCCATCTTTGTAGGGACATTTTGTCCCCATAACGTAGGATATACCTGAACCACACACACTCACACACGGCACACTATCATCAGGGCTTAATGTGACACAGGAAGGAAATCACGTAGATATCTGATAGCAGCGCCTGTGGCATTTATCAGTCTCGGATCTTTCCTTAGAATACGCACACACACAATAAAAATTCCTCTACTGCACTAAAAAAGTATATATAAATAATTATGTCTAAATATATTATTTTAGATGGGCAATGTATAAAATATATATCTTTTTTTATATTTTAAATCTTATTACTAAATTGTTAAGCAATGTTTGTTTGTTTTTTACAACAACAAAAAAAAAGTCCAAAAGCAGTCCGAAAAGAAAAATAAAGAAAAATAATTTTTGTTATCTGAAATAATTGAAATAAGGGAACTAAAATATAGTCGTGACTCCAAAACTAAAATTAAACTAACAGAATCCATTTAATTTTAGATACACAGGATATTATAACATTTTAAACCTTTACAACCTATCTGAAAATTAACCTTATCAATAACACAAGACTGCACCAAAAAGAGTGTTAAACACTGTTAAATGACATTAGCTAATGCATTAATCTCGCCTGCCCAAATATAAAATAAACATTTAAAAACAGTCAGAATGAAAACTAACAAAACTAAATTACTTTTCTATAATAATCGTAATGTAATGTTATTGACAAAACTTTGAAAGTACCATTATATAAATGTTATTGATAAATTCCTCCCTATGCAGTGTAGTAAGAAGCAGCATTAGACAGAGCTAAAGCACAGGGCTGTCGACTGACCCTTATCTCAGCTCTCTGATTGGTCCCTGCTCTGCACAATAGTATATGCTGCAGATCATTGGCCAATAAAGCTTGAGGTCTCCCTCCTCCCTCGATCTGAGCTCAACGCACACATGACGGCCTGTTGAGAGTGTGGGAAAGATCTGCGCTGAGGCCTTGCAGGCCACAGCCACAACTTTAGCACAATGTAGGAAAGTGTGCCCATGGGTATTTGTGCAGTGAGTAAGGGGAAGCATGATTGAGCACGGCCATGATCAGAGGTCTTAACCCCTCCCTTCCCAGTGGTGATCTCAGTCGCTACAATTCTGCCCCAGTCTTCTTCAAATAAACAGCAGATCTGCAGAAATGAGATCCAATTAAAGGCATCCCTCATGACCCTCGACTCAAATACAGACCCTAATCGCAAAGAAACTAAGGGAAATGCCTTGAAGGAAAACATCTTTGAAAATTTTGAGAGGAACATGACATAAAACTAGCCCTGATAAATCTTTCTTTAGTCTCTGTTTCAATCAAATGGCATGAGAGTCGTCTTGGGAGAGAGCTTATATGAACAAGGCTGAGTGGAACGGATGAATGCTTTCCTCGAGCTTCAGCGTGTTCATCAGGGCTTCTTTTCACCTCACACTTTGTTATATCTGACAGTAAAACCTTCCTAGGCAGTGAGTGGCGATCCTGTTAGAGTGATGTTTAACTGCCAGATCCAGCAGCTGTGCTTTGTTGGTGGATAACCGTTCCACAGTGACTGCGAACAGACATATCACCAAATGTTTTCATTTTTCTCTCGGTAGGAAACGTATTGTGCCTAGAAAAGTGAAATACAGCTGTGTGTTCCTATTTTTCGCAAGAGACATTGTTTGGCTTGGCTGAAAGGAATAGTTTACAATAATAGTTTAAAATAAAAAATTGCTCGTCCTCATGTCATTCCAAACCTGTATGGCTTTCTTTTTTAACATTGAAAACAAAGACATTTGGAAGAATGTAAAAAATGAATGCGTCCGAATGGCAAAAATTAATGCTAATGCAAATGAGATTTCAGCATTTAAAAAGATTTTCAGCAAATTATGAATTAAATTTCATTCTGTTCATCCCACAAATTTAACATGTTTAGCTTAAGAGGACTTTCAATACAAAATATTATCATTTTGGGAGCTTGAAAACCCGTGTCCACATTCATTCTACTGTTTGGAAAAGAGGAGCTTAGACATTCTGCAAAATATCTCCTCCATGGAAGAAAGAAAGAGTAAGTGATGATGGAAATGTCAGGTAACACTTTACAATAAGGTTCCATTGGTTAACATTATTTAACAAATGGAAAACTATTTCTAAAGCATTTATTAATCTTAGTTAATGTTAATTTTAACATTTACTTATGGAAGCTTGTTTCCACCACAGAATAAAAAATAAAAAAGGTAATTGCGACTTTTTATCTCACATTTATGACCTTTTTTCTCAGAATTGCGAGATATAAACTCACAATTGTGTTATAAAGTCAGAATTGTGAGATATAAACTCGCAATCGCTTGTTATAAAGTCAGAATTGTGAGATATAAACTCGCATTTCTGAGAAAAAAAGTCAGAATTGACTTTTTGACAGATTGACAGAATTGACCCCCCCCCTCGAAACTCGCAAATTCTGACTTTATAACCCGCAATTGCCAGTTTATACTTTATATCACACAATTGCAAGGAAAAAAGTCCGAATTGTGAGATTAAAAACATCGCAATTACGTTTTTTATTTTTTATTCAGTGGCAGAAACAAGCTTCCATATTTATTAATGCATTATTCAAATCAAAAGTAGTATCTGTTAATATTACTGGTTACACTTTATTTCGATGGTCCACTCCACTTTAGATAGAACTATAAGTAGCTGCAACTACATGTCAACTAACTCTCATTAGAGTATTAGTAGACTTAGGTTAGGGTTCAGGTTAGTAGAATAAGTTGACATGTAGCTGCAAAGTTAGTAACTTAGTAGAATGTCTAAAGTGGACTATCAAAATAAAGTGTTACCATATTATTATTTAATGGACCTGAGCTAACATTAACAAAAAATGAAGTTATATTTCAAATAACATTAACAAAGAATAATAAATGCTGTAGCAAATGTATTGCCCATTGTTAGTTAATGTTGGTGAAGGCATTAACTAACGGTAACTAATGGGACCTAAAGTGTTACCGAATATCAAGACCATAGCACAACTTCCAGATTCATATCTGTTCATTTCAGTCAGAAAAAAAATCCCTCTTCTGTAGTGACGATGTCTGCCCTCGCCTCCGTAAATATCAGACTATGTAAATAATCCTCACGCAAAACAAACAGAGTTTGATTTCCCGGTCCTTGGAGTGGGATTGCCTGTTTGGTTTGGATGCGAGAAGAGAACTCATATTAATCCCCCACATGGAGCTCCTTCACCTCCAGAGCTTCACAGAACCTCGGGCTGCTCCCACACTGTTGATCTAGCTGTAACCGTACACCTTGCCTTTTATCTTTGCGGATAGACTCGTATTAAGATTTTTGAGTTTGGAGGAGACCAGAAGAAGGAAAATGGATGAGTGTCAGGGAA